CGCTTTGACGCCTTTGTTGCCAGCATGAATGTGCTCTCTCACGAGATGAGCAGGCTTTCTGCAGCAAGGACAGTGAATGAATGAAGACCATTGCCATGGCCATGTGCAGCCGTTCGTGCACAAACTTCCGTTGATAGCCTTCAGAGGGCGATGTGCCACTCACAAGTATACCCTGGAATGGGCTTCTTAGAGAGTTTTGCTAGAGTAGCACGAACCTGGACTGCATGTTGGGCAGGTTCGTGATGCTAAACTAAGGTCCTGGGAAATCTTTTTGTTTTTTTTTCCCCCGACAGCAACGCTGCGGTGCTGCAACACTCGTTTGCTGCGCATTGTCCGCGACATTCAGTAATGTGTGCGGAGCGAAGGCTGCGCTTAGACTCTTAGAGCATTGCCAGGTGCAGTTCACAGCAACACCCAGGTTCCCATGGCCCCCCCCCTCTCTGGTGACTGTGTTACTGAAAACAATGATGTAAAATGGTCTTTATTTTTGCAAGGCTAGCATGAACTTGACCCCAGATGCAGACCAGGTTCATAAGACTAGACCAGGATTTTCCACAGATCTGACCTGTCCGTTAACCACCGCGCCAAAAGAATGCTGCTGCGATACTCGTTTGTGGCAATTTTTTCACTCTCTTGTATTTCCTTTACTCGCTGCTGTGTCCTTCTCGACGTGATCGTCTGGCTTGGATGGAGATGGTGGATGGAGATAGAGGAGAGGACCTTTGCCCCCCGCTGTAAAGCAAAATCTTGATTCATCATAATTTAATAGTCTTCTTTAGGCTGAAGAGATGTGGCAAGGTGAGGGTTGGGAGGAGGAGGAGGAGTTGTCCTGGCAGTTTGAACCCTGGTTAATGAGCCCTCGTGTTGTTGACAAGAATCACCGTGCTGCTGGACAAGAATCGCCGTGCTGCTGGGCTGGAAAGGCATTCCAGCCCCCCTTCCCCAGCCTACCGCCTGCCCCTGAGGAGCCTGCTTTGGTTGGAGCCTGCATTCATCTTTCTCAGGCCAGGCCTGCTGGATCGGCGCCACAGCGGGAACTACTTTTATGAGTGGAGCGTTACACAATCAAATAGCGAGAGAGAAGTCGCTGGTCGGCCGGCTGTGAAGTGGAAGGACATTGACCAGCTTGTGTTCTGTGAATTTTCAGAAGCACGCAAGGGAGGAAAGTGGGAACGAAGCGATGGTCCTGGAGTGAAAGGGGAAGGGGAGGACAGTGATCCATGCATGGGTGTGTCCTTGCATATGGCTTCGGCTTGGTTGAGGCTAGTTGAGGCTTGGTTGAGGCTGGGTTGAGGCTTAGTTGAGGCTTGGTTGAGGCTTGGTTGAGGCTTGGTTGAGGCTTGGCTGGCTGGAAGCCATATGAGGTTGGAGAATTAGGTAGGCAAGTTTCTTTTTGAAATCAATATACATCCAAAAGTGATCTCCAATTTTGAGTTTCTTTTGGCAAAATGAGGGCATTGTCATGCCTGTGCTTTTTCAGATATTCGCTCTTTGGCCTTCTTTGTCATGTGTAAGGTTCAGATGACAGTGAGTTTGCACATGTTTGCTGTTTCTCCCCTCGCATTATGCCATTTCCTTGTTAGAGAGGGAAGTTGTGTTTCCCCCCCCCCCCTCAGAGAGAGAGAGAGAGAGAGAGAGAGAGAGAGAGAGAGAGAGANCAGAGAGAGAGAGAGAGAGAGAGAGAGAGAGAGAGAGAGAGAGAGAGAGAGAGAGAGAGAGAGAGAGAGGGAGGGAAATTTTGCTTCACGTCTGTACGTACTACATACGCTGAATTGAAGATGAAAATCAAATTGGCACTTCCTCCTCTGCCACTATTTTTCCCTCCCCTCCCTTCTCCTTTGGGGCTTGTATACCATCTCATGCCATCTCCGCCCTCGCCCGCCCCACCAATCCTTCACCAGCCACCAATAATTAAAAGAGGAGGGGGGGGGGAAGGAAGAGAGAGAGAAAGAAAAAAGAAGAGAAATGTAAACGTCTGTTGATGCTTCTATTGCTGTTAATGGTCTCTCAGACTCTCTCTCATGTTTCTGGTTATGCACTGTTTTTTTTTTTTTTTTTTACTTTTTTGCTTTCTAATAGTTTCTATTTCATTTTTTATTTTTTTTGGCAACGTCTGATTTCAACATGTGTGCGCAATTGATTATCCGACAGGTTGCTCGCTTATCCGACAGGTTGCTGAGTCGTGGGTCTTACTCGTTTTATACTTGGAACGATTTGCGATGGCCTTTTCTTCATTCGTTGTGTGATGAATGAAGCATGGATGTGCGCAGCCTGTGAATGTTTGTCAGCCTGCATTGCTATTAGGGTCAAAAAGTGAGCACGATCATACCGGCAATCTTTTGATGTATATGCAATTAGACTCCTTCCATTCACACTTTTCATGCATGTAAACAGCAGTGCAGCAAACTGGCGACATGCGCCCACTCAATACTCAGAGATATGGCATCCAGATAAGAGTTCACTTGAACTGGCTATGGCGACTCAGCGCCCAAACAACTCACTGTTCACACACACCGGATCACCCTGAATATCCCACACGCGTCACTCTGAACTCTCACACATACACACACACACTTCACACTACTACAGCTATGCCAGCTATGGCTGCCTCTACCCTATCGCTATACTAAGCTCCTCCTCTCTCGCCCACTGGTCCTCCGGGCTCACTGCAGACCTCCTTGCACAAGTCGCTGTGGCAGCGCTTCCGCATAGCTCACGCAGGAATGAATGAAAGGCTGGGTGCTGCCTCTTGATTTATACTTTGGAAACTCGTTGGTCTGCCCTTTGCCATCGACCCATGGTGCTCACAGTCCCCCGTGGTACTTGCTGGACCGAACTGGGACTGACTGGACCTTACTGCTGACTGACTGTGGACTCACTGCTATCTTAC